TTGTCTATACCCAATTTCTTCTCTTTCTTTAGTATCTAAGCACATTTTTAAACATACTATACCTTTTTAGAGGGTTGCTGTGTCTGAACGTGGCTACAGCATCATCTGACCACATGAGATAAACCTTAAGCTGACACAAAGCTGCTGAGTGACTCAGCATGGCATACGTCATTGGCAGATGTGCTGATGGCTGCTCCAGTCTTCAGGCAGCAGCTGGGAGTTGCATCTCTGGATGCTGCTGAGCCCTGACAGGACTAAGAGTCCATGTCCGGCTCTTCTTCCAGAACTTGTCTTGGCCTTTTCAGGCCTGATAATTTGGATATTTGAGCCCCATGATGAGTGCCATATATAATGATTTTTTCTCTATCCCACCAGCTAGCTCCCAAATAATGGCATGGAGGCTTCTTATTCATTATGAACCCTTGGCCAATAGCTTAGGCTGGTTCTTAACTAGCTCTTAGAACTTCAGTTAACCCATGGATATAAATCTATGTTCTATCATGGGGCATTGCCTCTCTTCCATCTTGCACCTCCTGTTTCCCTTCTGTGTAACCTGGATACTCCTAGTCCTCTATTCCTCCTCCTCTTACTCTCTATCCCCAGAAATCCCAACTATACCTCCTGCCTAGCTATTGGCCTTTCAGCTCTTCATTAACTCAATCACAGCAATATATCATCTTCACACCGTACGCAAACATCCCAAACCAACTTGAAGGAAACAAACTGGACCTGATCCAAAGGTTCCTCCCTGAGGACTAGCCATCATAGTACTGGAAGGAGCTATGCAGACTGCCAAGAGAGAAACTCAATCAATAATCCTAATAAATTCTGATCCCTATAAACCACAGCATTGACCAACACAGCAAGCTATCCCTAGTGGTGCCTGAGTGGCACTTACATCTTGGTGATAGGTAAGCACTGACTAATTGGAATTCATGCTGGGAACTGTAACTTAACTGACTTCCTGGGACAGATGAAGATGTGAGATCTAGACTAGGACCTACTACTAATATTTTTCAAAATCACCTAAATTTCTAACTTCCTCCTCCTCTTCCTCCTCTTCCTCCTCTTCCTCCTACAGGGTTACTCTGTGGAACAGCCCTAGCCATCCTGGAAATCACTTCATAGACCAGGCTGACCTCAGACTCACAGAGATCAGGATGCCCTTGCCTCCCCAGTGCTGGGATTAAAGGTGTGAGCCACCATGCCAGACTTCTAACTACATTCTTAATCCTCATCCTTGCAGCCACAGATGTGTGTGGCTCTTGCTTCTTATTGCATTAGAGACTGTTATACAAAGCCATAATTAGTCACTATGTAGAGAACAACAGACCATGGGGTGCCCAGCTACAACTCATACCTTATAACACCACCCTACACCTAAGGCTCAAAGGACATTGTTGAACCACTAGTGTGTGGTAGAAAGGTTGTGAGAGCTAGTAAGGACCACTTTGTTAGCTAAAAGATAGTATCTTCTATATGACAGGGGAAGCTGCACTCGTGAAATCTCAAATAAATGGTTGCCAAAACAAATCTGAATAATAAATATCAGTACCAGTCTTCATGACAAATTTTGAAGGGGAATTCTATGTCCCATCTCTAGATGAATGGCGGCTATAGGCAATTAGGATGGCTGAGACCACGGAGATACTGAAATTAAAGGATGAAATAGAAAATAAATGTTTTTGTTTTCTGTAGGCAAAATTAATTCGGTGTTTATGTTGCATGTATCATCTAATTGCTCCCATTTTTCAGATAATGGGGAATACCTCACTATTGAAGAGGCATCAGTTTGGTACCCCAGCGCACTATTCCCAACTCCTAGAATTTGATATCCCTCCTCTTCTCTATCTGGGTATTTATGGCAGTATGTGATGTTACACTTCCATACACCAATTATGAGTAGATTTGATAAGAAAATAATACACCACATATTACATCCTGTAACACTTTCAGAATAATTCCACTTCAGTAAAACGTATCAAGGCCCAATTTTCCCAATATTACAAAATCCAACCTCTACAAAATGTTTAAATAAAAGAGGGAAGCCTTGGCTCAGCAGTTTCAGTGGGGAAACAAAAGGGTACAAATCCAGAAGAGAAACATGGAAGGTTCTTGCAGGCCTCCACACAACTATGTAAGGGGGAGTAAACACTCACTGGGGGTATAGACTGACTAGACAGACCTGGAAATAGAGAGATGTTCTGACTGGAGCTGCAGCAAGCTTGGAGAAAGCTGCAGGGTTGCAGATTTGGAGGAGTTACAACCCAAGGGAGGGTGAGCTTTCTGGTGATGCAGCTGCACTCGAGTTATCCCTGATCCTCATGAGTGACCCCTCACCACACGGTTAGTGAGCCCTTGAAAAGACTCATTCGTTCCCCAAAATAAACATTGGTGCAGTAATTACTTTAGCCTGCTGATGGATCCCTTTCTGGAGTAAGCAGACACTTGTTGAGTCTCCCCAGGAAATGTCTGCCACACAACCCATGAGATGAGGTGTACTGTTTGACATGAAGTCAAACAGTGCACCTTTTGTTTGAAAAATTTGGCAATACAGATTGATATGTATTATTAATTGATGATAAAAATTTAAGGTTATAAAGATCTATTTCAAATTAACAAACAATGGTGTTAACTTGCCTATAAAAAGACACAGGCTAACAGAATGGATATGAGGACAGAATCCATCATTCTGCTGCAAATCTAATCTACTAAATTAAAACCAGTTAAAGTCAGGCTGAAGGGCTCTAAGTAAAACATCCCTCTACAGCCTCTCAGCTTGGATCCAGTTCTCCAGAGATCCTCCACTAATGTCATTGAAGCCCATCCTAAGTACAGATAAACTAATTACAGGATAAAGCCTTACCTAGCCACTTATGTGTGTAAGGCAACTAACTAAAGATAAAGTTTGTCTGCTGAGATATACTAAACAGAGGCAGCCCTCCAATGCTCAGAGATCTAGACAATACAGAATTTAAAATGTTTTATTGAAAAGCTTTTCGTAGACCCCCATGGAAGGCCTCAACCTCCCTGGGGAGCAGAAAGGGTATGGAATAGGTAGGGTGTTAGTGGAGGGCAGGAGAGCAGGGGAAAGAGAGGGAACTGGATTGACATGTAAAACAATCTTCGTTCTAATTTAAATCAAAAATGGAAAAAAAGAAAAGCTTTTCATAACAGAGAGACAAGCCGACTGCTGACACCACCCATTTACTCCAAGAAGAAGAAGGTTACAAAAGTGGTAACATTAGCCACTGGGCAATCCTGCTTTTCACCTCAACTGCTGCAAAAGACTCTTAGGACCTTGGACAACAGGACAATGGAATTGACTTTCTCCATGTTGCTATGGCCAACAGTAGGCAAAACTTCCTAAAGCTCCTAATTGATCCACAGGCCCTGAGCTAACAGCAGAAGGCAAGTGTCCTTAAAGCCTCTTCCCTCAACAACTGTGAAGGACCCTGGGAGTGGCTGTCCATGTGGTCAGTGATCAAGTCTCTCTCATTCTCTAATAATTCATTCAGGTAAAATTTTATCCTTCTCAAGAACTCTGATGCAGATTGACAGCTGGTAGGTATCAGTATAACTTCTTATGATTCCTTTGTTTAAAAAATGTTTTAAGGTATAAAGTTTCTGTAAGAACATAAAAGCTTAAGATGTATGAATCTAAAAATGATTTAAGACATAACAAAGTAACTGAAGGGATACAAATACAAGTTATCAGATGTCTTTATCTCATTATGCCACTGTTCATAATTGTAACATTAATCAATAAAGTTCTGATAAGCTACTGATCCAACTCTGACAGGGCACTAAACACCAAGCTACACCACACTATGACCCTAACTGCAAGCTCAAAATTAAGGTGCTTTTTATTGTGCTAAAGATATCTGTCAGTTTTAAGAGTGTTACGATTGTTTCTAATAAATAAATACAATTTGAAAAAGGAGTGTTAATTCTTTCAGCCAAAATAATTTCTGACTACTATGCACAGATCATAAACAATGGAAATGCTAATGTTTCTAAAACTTATGTTTTCACAAACTCAAATGATTCTTGTAAATTGCAGGGAGCTGAAATTGGCCAACCCAAACAGGTGAGATTCACTCCAGATAAATATTATTCAAGCGTTCCCTGGTCCCGGGACTCCTTTTCCTCATCTTGGGACCCTCAGGAAAGCCTTCCTCATCTTATGATCCTCTTCACCTCAAGTAACAGGACCTTAGAATTCTTTTTCTAAACCTTACCTTGTCCTTTGCTCTGCCAACATCTTGACAGATCTAAGAGGTGCCAGAGACTTCCATACAACCTGGACTACAATAAAACAACCTGCTACCCCAGGAGGAGGGAAGCACCCCAGCTTTCTCAGGTCCCCCAAAGATGGTCAACAACCCCAGGTCAGCAGGAATTAGTCTCAAGAACTTGACACCCTCATTCCCTAACCTGCCACACCTAACTCCTCCCCTTTTAATGATAAATAAATAAAGGTGGGAATAAAAGGACTCAGGCTATATGCTATCCTGCCCCTGACACCTGGCAGAATGCATTCAGGCATCTCCCTGATCATCCTAGGGTTCCTTGATTGCACATTCTGCATGCAGGCACAAAGGACCCCTTTAAAAGAAAGACCCCCCCTCCGCCAACACGTATGTTCTTTCCTACTCTCTTCTCTTTGTGGCTCATCTCTTATTCACCCTTCTCTTTACCTGCTCTCTTTCCCGACGTTCCCCTGGGGCAGACAGGATTTTCCTGTCTCCCTCTTCTCTTCTGTCTTCTCTCTGTCGCTGAGTCTCTGTGTCTCTTTACCTTTTTTCTCTTTCTTTCCCCCTTCTCTCCCCTTTCTAGTAAAACTTCTCACTTAAGCTCTGTCTGTCTGGCATGTTTTTCCCTCTGCTTTGGTCAACCTCACCCGCCATGGACTCTGCCAAGGTCCCCCATGCAAGGTTCACCACAGGCTTTATCATAACAGAACCCTGACCACAGGAATCACTTCAGATCTCCCTTACCTTTATTTCCGGTGATGTTTTTTCTAGGAATGTCAATTAGCCAGAGAACACGGTTATTGAACTTGAAGAAAGAAGAGATCAGAATACATTATTTTATAACATTAAGTCAACACTTACTTTGGCATATTCTGCACAACATTTTAAAAGTAAAATTAGTCAAAAATATCCAAATATACACACAGATGTACACTTACAGATAAAGGGCTTTAAATAGCAAATTTCACCGTTAGGGATTTTTCCCATATTACACTCACATAGGTGTGATATCACACACACACACACACACACACACACACACACACACACACACACACACACTTATTCAAAGATAGTATGCATCATTCTTTGTAATAGTGGGTTGACAACAATTATACACACACACACACATAAATATCAACATGCAGATATATATATATATATATATATATATATATATATATATATATATTTTTTTTTTTTTTTTTCTCTTTACACATATTTTTTTTTTTTTTTTAAAACAAAGCTGAAGTATTAGGTACCCAATAATTTGGAGTGAAGGCATTGTGCTGGCCGACCATTTGGAAATGTAAGAGGGGAACCCCAGAACAGGAGAGCAGTAAGAATGGGAGCTCTAATGTTTACATTGAAAACATGTCTAAATCTGCTTACTACACAAGTTTAGAGGACACTCCCAGAGCAGCTTTAAAAATAAAAGCAGTCGGTGGTGCATGCTTGTAATCTCAGCACTCGGGAGGCAGAGGCAGGTGGATCTCTGTAAGTGAGGCCACCCTGGTCTACAGAGCAAGTTTAGGGACAGCTTCCAAAACAAAACAGAAAAACCCTGTCTCGAAAAAAACAGAAAAAGAAAAATAAAAGCAGTGGAAGCAATAAAACCTAGCAGGATATTAACAATCAGAACTACAGATGAGACACCTTTCAGGATTCTTTCTTCTTTACCAAGGAAATTATCTTCTTTTTAGACAAACAGTAAAAATAGCATTTCTTAGAAGAATGAGCCAGGATCCAGAGTTACCACAGCATGTCACCTACAGTGTCCAGCTTTCAACCAAAGCAATGAAACTAAGGAAAAAAGGCAAATATAACTGATACTATGGGGGCAATTTACACAGTTAGTTGACTCAGTTTGGCTAACAGGCAATGGATTAAATGTTATTTTAACAACTCTGTGCATAGACTGAAGGAAACTGTCCCAAAAATTGAATGCATAGATAATTCCAAACAGAGTAGAAAATATACATAAACAAAACAAATGCAAACAATAAAACTTAAGTAGAACAAATCAAGTAAAATATATACTAAATGGCCTCACTAGGAGAATGAATGTTAGAAAACAGGAATTTAATATCTTTACCATGAGACATGAAATGCCATCTCAAATAAAAGAAGCCACAGCATCAACAAAAACAAGAATAAAAATAATACATATTTGAGGAGAGAGTGTATCACAATAAATAAAAGGCCCAGAGAGAAATACTGGGGTTCAATCTTCAAGCTGAAGATCAGAAAAGCAAAGTATCTGGCCACGAGCTCTTACCAGTACCTCAGGCTGAGTGGGCTGGTCCCACTGCCTCTCTTCAGTGTGGTTGGAGAATCCTGATACTGAATGTCTTCCTATTCTCAGTGTGGCTCGAGAATGAATGTCCCACACTGGGACCTTGCTCCTGTCTTATACACCTCCCTAATGCTGGGATTAAAGGCTTGTCATCCCAGGTGCTAAATTCATTATTGTGTGGGCTGTTTCTCTTTAGGGCTGGATCAGTCTCATGTAGATCTGGGTGCACTTGGACGCACAGAGATTGGTCTACCTCTTAATCCCGAGTCCTAGGATTATAGGAGTGTAGCACCACGAACTAGCTGCTGGGATTAAAGTTGTGTATCACCACTGCCTGATCTCTATAGCTTGAGGCTGGCTTTGCTTTCTGAATCCTCAGGCAAGCTTTAGTAAATCATAAATAATATATCACCATAATAGAGTATATTTAACCTGATGCCAACATTACACAATATATGCATATATTGAAATACATTCTGAACCCCACTTAGACATGGAATATTTATATTTTCCTGAATCAGTGAAATTTAGACAAAAAAGTGACTAAAGGAACTTAATAGTGTTAGAAAATTGCCCAACAATATTTTGCCTTCCAAGATTATTATTTTTTAATTTATTTTATAATTTTTTCTGTAAATTAAAAACAATCTTATTCTACATACCAATCCCAGATCCCTCTCCCTCCCATCCTCCCATGTCCCTCACCAACCCCACTCTCCAGGGAGTGTGAGGCCTCTCATGAGGGATCACCAAAGTCTGACACATCATTTGGGGCAGGACCTAGGTCCTCCCCCGTGTATCTAGGCTGGGAGAGTTTCCCTCCATGGGGAATGGGCTCCCAAATCCCATCCTTGCACTGGGGATAAATACTGGTTGCTCTGCCAAAGAGGCCCCATAGAGTGCCAGGCCTCCCAACTGACACCCATGGGAAGGAGAAGGGCAGAGTCTGAGGAGTCTCCAGCTGGACACAGAGGGAGTAGGAGATGAATGTGACATCTAACAAAGGTACTGCCCCTGGCAGAGTGTGAATAAGGAATATGGGTTAACTTAAAATGTGATGGTTAGAAAACAGCCTGAGCGGTTTGCTGAGCATTTATAAGTAATATTACCTCTCAATGTATTTATTTGGATATTGCTGTTGGGACAGAAACTTTTGTCTACAAAAGACAGAGTTGAAAGCTGAGTTGCTCAAGGTGGAGCAAAAGCACCAAGAGACGGTGCTAGCCCTTCTCAGTCAGCTGCAGCAAAGGCCAACAGCAGAGAAGCTGCCAGAGGTGTGGGTGAGTGGGAAGGAACAGCAGCTGCTGGACACATTGCAGTGTCAGGACAAACAGCTTAGGAGATGGCAAGAATTGTGTGAGCAAAACCAGAAACTTCTCTAAAAGAATGAAACCATCACATGGAAACTGACCCTCCTTCAAGGGGCCAAAGGCCAGAAACTTCATCTCGGCAAGGATGGCCTTCAATCTCCAGATTCTTCCTTTGACTACATCCCAACTCTGCCCAAACCATCCCGTGTTAGAGACAAGTTCCTGGAACAGAGCATGGACACTGAGAATTCTGCAAATGAGTCTGAAGATGGTGATGCAGATGATGAGGAGTGGAAACCAAGGAAACTGGCTAAAGTGCCCAGGAAGACCATGCAAGGGTGCTCCTGCAGGGGATGGTGTAAGAACAGACACTGTGGGTGCAGGAAACAAGGGGTGGACTGCACTGTAGCCTGTGGCTGTGACCCCACTAAGTGCCGGAACCTCCAGAAAGAACAAGATAGCTTGGGTACTATTGAGTGGAACCAGGATTCTGAAGGCTCCTTCAAACTGGAGGATCCTACAGAGGTGACCCCAGGACTGAGCTTCTTCAACCCTGTCTGTGCCACTCCCAATGCCAAGACCCTAAAAGAGACATGTGATATGGATCAGGTTCTGTTAAGGAAGACTGCTCTTGCAGTTTCTTTAGACTCCCCCCAGACATAAAACACAGAGCAACAGAATCCCAGGAAAATAAGGTCACAGGGAAAAAGGAATGAGCTCTGGCCAGAAACATCAGCTTCTTCTCTGGCTGCTCTCCTACCACAGAAGAGAGAAGTCAGGGGCAGGAAAAGAAAAGAGTACTACCACTTTAAAAAACAGCAGTTCCTCACCCTATAACCCAACCATTCCATTCCAGGCTATGTACTCCAAATAAATGAAAACTTATTTCCACAAAAGAACCATATACATAGTAGCATCACTTATTAAAGCATCAGATAGACACAAGTCCAATATTCATCTTCTGATGGAGAGACTAAATGTGCAATGTCTACAGTAGAGTATTACTTGCCCATAAAAAGAACAAAGCATTGACATTTCCCTTGCTATGTATGGAGCTTGAGCACATTATGAAAACTGGAGAAGGCAGCTACCGATACTATGTATTGTATCTTGTTTCTATGGGCTTGAAGTTTACCAAGTGTATGGACAGGGAGCGAGCCAGAGCACAGGAGTGTTTGGTTAGGGCTGGAGAATCGGGAAGGAGAATGGGGAGTGACTGTTAATGACTTCACGTTGTCTCTCAAGATGACAAAATGTTCTGGAATTGTTTACTAGTGAGCCTGCACAACTCTGAATTCACTAAAAACCAATGAACTATGTACTTTGAGCGGGTGAGTTAATTGAATGTGAATTCATCTTGATATGTTTGTTTAAAATTAATGTACAGCTTTACAGATAGTGGGGATCAACTCCAGTTCACTGACATTTGACTGCCACTGACAAAGGCTGGAAAAACTGAAGCTAAGGGAAATGATGTCAGATCTACAGAAGCAATAGAGATAATTAACTGCTTAGATGCATTTTAAGTGATTAAGTTTTAAAAGGTGGTGCAGAGAAAGGTTTTTGCCGTGTATTCCAGGATGGCCTTGAATGTACAGCAGTCCTTAATCATCTACCTCCTGAGTGCTAGAATTACAGGCATGTGCCATTATGCCTGGATAACGTAGCTTATCATCATCATCATCATCACTTTCATAACCTTCACCAACATCCTCATCATTATTTTCTTTTATAAAGTGTTCTGAATACTTCAAAACTAAATGACTTCTAAATTAACTACTTATACTGTATTTGTAGGCAGATTTTTCTGTCCCTCTGCCAGTTCTCAACTAATCACAGGAAGGCTTCTTATTAATTATTAATTTTGGCCTACAGCTTAGGGCTGTTTCCAACTACTTTTTATAATGTAAGTTTACCCATATCTTTTTATGGTTTAGTGTATTTTAATAGCAAACTTACAAGAACAGCTCAGAAGACAAACAACATTAAAAACATGTACTTGCATGTAGGACAACTCAGAAAAGTATAGGGAATGGATGCAATCTACTGAATGAGAAACGTGCCACAAACACCATTTAGTTGCCATCAATAAGAAATTTACATATTTTTAAAAATCCAAATGCTGGCATTGTCCAGAAAATTTTAACAGGTTAATTTAAAATTGTCATAAAGTTGAACTGTTAAAATGTGTTTACTGAAACAATTTGCTTGCATTGATGCTTTACATCTTGCATTCATATTAAAAATTCACACACAAATGAAATAGAAAAAGTGTCAATATCTGATTTCTGTCCCCTATTTTTCCACTGGCAATCATATACTTGCTAAATTTGACCCCATCTAACATTCAGAACAGGAAGAAGAGGAAAAAAATTTGAGAATGAGATGTTTCCCCTCATAGTGGACTCTTAAGCCTGTTCTCTGAGTATACAGCCTGCTAGCTGAATATCTTTTGGCATAATTGTTACACATTTGGCATGGATAAACACAGGTTGGTATCTTCAAAAAGGCAACCTCACTTGCCTCCTGGAAAGCACCAATAGCTGCACTCGGGAAGCACAGATCTGTTTGAAGTCCTGAGCAATTTCTCACACCAGATGCTGGAAGGGGAGCTTGCAAATCCTAAGTTCAGTAGATTTCACAGAGTGCCACAGTACCAGCCCTCTAAAGATGACATTTCTTCACTCTCCAGTACAGGGCGCACTCTTGCGAGCGGCTTCTGTAGCCAGTTGTTTCCTGGGTGCTTTACCACTGGTGGATTTACAGCCAGTCTGGTTTGTGAGAGTCTCTGTATGAGAACCTCCTAACTTGCCTGCCTTCTCCCTCAGCTGGAGCTTGGCAAGTGAGAGGCAGCTCTGTCATTAGAGAGCTGAGGCAGCGTGGTGACAGTTCCGAAAACCTACTCATATCTTTTAATCTATGGTCTTTTATGTGGCTTGGTTACTTTTACTTTGTAAAGCCCATGATGCTTGCTCTGTGTCCCTGGTGTCTCCTTGCTCTTCTAACCTTCTTCACAGCATTCTCTCTGCCCCCCAAATCCTACTAGTTCTTGGCCATTTACTTTTTATTAAACTAGTCACAGTTACATATTTTCACATACTGTAAAGGAATATTCCACACCATGTATAATTGGATTTCAAACATTTGTAGAGATATTACTGAATTCCCAACTTGGAAAAAGACATCCACTAAGAGAGTATCCTTCTTCTCGGTAACATACCATAGTATAAAACAAAGCATAATTACCAGAGATAAGTTAAAGTAGAAGTGATCGTGGTATGTGCTGTTCATGATTATCAGCTCCGGAGCATTGCCTCCTGATGTAAACACACTCAAAACTGTCCTGAAAAGGTCTATGGTTTCACTTCGGAAGAAACAGTAGACTTTCTTTAGGAAAGAAATAAAATATAACAAGTAATGACAATTTGATATGAAGATGGAGAAGCATATTGCATTAAATTATTAGTGTGGCTAAGTTTGTGAATATAATTGATGATAAACATTTCTATCTTTATACAAGGGAGGGCCTAGGTCCTGCCCCAAACAATGTGACAGGCTTTGATGAACTGCCATAGGAGGCCTCACCCTACTTGAGGAGTGGATGGGAGATGGGATGGCGGGATGGTGGCCTGTGCAAGCCATCTGGGGCCATCGTGACACCCAGGCCTGAGTTGTTGCCCAGGACCATATCCAGGTCCACGGTCCTACAGCAATTGCGGTCTGTGTTGATGTCCATGTCCTACATTGTCATCAAAGGCCACAAGGATGCCCACCATCTGGGCTGTCATCTATAGCCATGTTGGGGTGTAAGGGCTGTGCCACTGTTGGGGCCATGAACCTAACAACTCTGTGACTTCACAGATTCAATGCCCTCTTCAGGCCTGTATGGGCATCAGGCATGCATGTATATTATATTATGCATCTATGTAGTACACATACAGAGATGCAGAAAAACATCCTAACAAACAAATAAATAAAATTCCACAAATAATTTTTAAATATAAAAACACTAAAACCAAAGTGTTAAGTAAGTAATCTGTGTCAGGGCATGCAGTCATAAACAGTAGACCCAAGAGTGGATCCCAGATTTGTACCTCTATAGCACAAAATCACAAACAAAAATGTCAAAGCTTCTCAAAAGGTGTAAATTCAAAACTTAAATTAAGTGCACATTTTTTATATCAAACAGTAATTAGGGACTAAGGTAAAGGAGACATAGGGATGAATTATGTGCCTTTGTGGAATGGTATTCTGTGTTGTTATTGTATTTGTCATCTACCTTCTGATAATCTGTGTATTTTCAATTAACATAATTTTTGCTAGCAATTGCTAAATGGATTTTCGTGTGTGTGTGTGTGTGTGTGTGTGTGTGTGTGTGTGTGCGTGTGTGTGTGTGTTTGTGCAGCGTGTGCGTGTGTGGTGTGTATGGTGTGTGGTGTGTGTATGTATGTGTGGTGTGTGCAGTGTGTGTATGTGTGTGTTGAACCCTGTCTTTGAGCATGGTAGGTAAGCACTCTGTCACTGAGCCATTATACAGAGCCTTAGCCCAGGACCTTTTTCATATTGTCTTTTATTTTATTTTGCTGTTTGATTGTTTAAAAATCTTCCTCACTTGAATGGTAAGGTCATACCATCCCTTACACAAAATGACAAGAATGACATGGTCTTTTTTATACAAGGACTATTAGTTTCTTAATGTCACTGAGGTATGTTTCTCTGAATGGATACTTCTGTCAAACTTCAAAAGAACAAATTGGTTCCATAGCAGATGAAGATTGTTACAGCTGGTCTAGAAAGAGAGTTAGGCTTCATTTATTAAAAACACTCCCAGAGCATGGCTACCCGGGATGCTCAGTGGCTAATGAAATACACTACCCTATCAAACTACAGACACAATTCCTCTGAGTCTCACCTTCCTGTCTGGACAGGAGAAGGCACTGGAGAGACTGCAGTGCCATTGCATTCATACCTGGCTGTAAAAGGGAACAAGGGCCTATAATACATTCAGTTAGTGGACTTTACCAGATTGTCAGTGGAAAGGAACAACTTGATTATGTTCTTGTCTTTGGAGACCTCTTCACTGGAACAAGAAAAGTGGTTCTTAGTCTCATCTAAACAAACAAACAAACAAACACACAGACAGACATGTCAAGATAAAAGGACTTACATGAAAAGTACCATATTTTTCAAACTGATACAACATGTTTAATTCTATTCTTGGTTTAGAGACAGGATTTCTCTGTGTACACCCTGATGCTCAGGACTCTCTTGTAGACCAAGCTGGACTTGAACTCAGCAATCCCTCAAGAGCTGGGGTTAAAGGTGTGCAACCACTGCGGGTGATGAAAGACTTTCTGAAGAATAAGAATTATAACCGGGGCAGTGGTGGTGCATGCCTTCAATCCCAGCACATGAGAAGCAGAGGCAGGTGGGTATCTATGACTTCGAGCCCAGCCTGGTCTACAAAGTGAGTTCCAGGACAGGCAAAGCTACACAGAAAACACTTTCTTGAAAAAAAAAAGGAGAAATATACATTTAAAGTGGTGTTGGAGGTGAACATCAGCAGTTCTAGGTCTCAAGAAGTAGAGGAGGAGCTCCCTGAGTCTGGAAACACCTCACTCTTCCTTCCCGCTCTGCTGACCTGTCCCATAATGAGGTCACAAGAGGAGATAGAGAGACCCCCACCTGCACCCACTGGAAGAAGATATGGGAAGAAGACAGGATATGAACTCACTCAACAACAGAAAGACCAATATGACACCACCAGAATCTAGGGACTCCACACCAGAAAGATCTGAAAACCTTGACACAAAAGATAAAGAAGAGATGGACCTCAAAAATTATCTTGGTAAGATGATAGAGACCTTTAAAGAGGAAACAAGAAAATCCCTTAAAGAAATAGAAAAAAAAAGCAAGCAAAAAATATATGAAATGGAGGAAAAGACAAACCAAAAAATTCAAGAAATAACCTTGACACAAAAGATAAAGAAGAGATGGACCTCAAAAATTATCTTGGTAAGATGATAGAGACCTTTAAAGAGGAAACAAGAAAATCCCTTAAAGAAATAGAAAAAAAAAGCAAGCAAAAAATATATGAAATGGAGGAAAAGACAAACCAAAAAATTCAAGAAATAAACAAATCTCTTAAAGACTCTCAAGAAACCCAAGAAAAAAAACAACCCAACAAGTGAAGGAAGCACTTGAAACAGTTCAAGGCATGAAAGCTGAAATATACACAATAAAGAAAACACAGAATGAGGTGATGCTGGAAATGGAAATGCTGGATAAACGATCAGGAACTAAAGATGTGAGTATAACTAATAGAATTCAAGAGATAGAATAGAGAATCTCAGTTATTGAAGACTCACTAGAGGATATACAGTCATCGACCAAAAAAAAATCTCAGCTCCAACAAATTCCTAACACAAAATATCCAGGAAATATGGGATACCATGTAAAGACCAAACCTAAGAATAATAGGTATAGAAGAAGGTGAAGAAATACAGCTCAAAGGTACAGAAAACAGATTCAACAACATCATAGAAGAAAACTTCCCCAACCTACAGCAGAAGGATATGCCTATGAAAGTACAAGAAGCTTACAGAACACCAAACAGACTGGACCACAAAAAGAAGTCATCCCCCCACACACACATATAAAAATCAAAACACCAAATATACATAATAAAGAGAAAATATTAAGAGCAGCAAAGGAAAAAGGCCAAGTAACATATAAAGGCAGACCTATCAGAATCACACCCGACTTCTCAATAGAAACTCTGAAAGCCAGAAGGTCTTGGATATATATCCTACAAGCACTAAGAGAGAGCATGGATGTCAACCCAGACTACTGTACCCAGCAAAACTTTCAATCAGTATAGATGGAGAAAACAAGATATTACATGACAAAAACAGATTTAAACAATACATACCTACAAGTCCAGCACTACAGAAGGTTCTGGAAGGAAAACTCCAACCCAACGAACAAAACTACACTCACAAAAACATAGGAAATAGATAATCCAACTTTACCAAACATGAAAACAAACAGGAGGGTGAAATACACACACAATGACACCACCAACAATAAATTCAAAACAAACAAGAACCAAAAATCAATGGTCATTAATATCCCTAAATGTCAATGGTTTAACTTACCCATAAAAAGATATAGGCTAACAGAATGGATACAAAGACAGAACCCATCCTTCTGCTGTTTACAAGAAACACACCTCAACTTC